GTGAGTATTTGTACACCGTGACGAGATCGCCGCGTTTCGCATGCGGTGGGTAACCTAGCCACACTTTCCACGTGCTTTCTTGAGAGCCAATGATGTAATAACCCATGTCTACAGAAGCGGTTTGCTGGGTGCGGTCGGCGTAGTGATCGTTCAGTGTCTGTTTCAAGGCGTGCGCCAGTCGGCAAACATTGGAGGAAAACGTGCAGACGAGGAAGTCGGCGTGAGCCAACAGCATCACATCGAAGTATACAGACTCAAGTCCTCCTCTAGTGAATCGCGATTTCACGTCAGTGTTGGTTTGGAAGATTGTTCCTTTTTCATGAAATGAATACATGGAATACGTTTGCCTGGCTTCTGCATACACGGTTGGATCGTCAGATGCCAGGAAAATATTTCTTCTGCGCGTGTCGTTTAGAATTCCTTTCAACTCATTACACGTTCTTATAAATCGATAATGCTGCTCAACGTGTTGCATGTACGCACTGACGGAAAACGACTTGGCCTCCTTAACGAGTTTGTCAGTGCGACGGATGTGGATGCCGACGTAGACTTGACCATAGCCACCACGTCGAAGGTTCATAACCATTGAGTTAGTGTGATTCGATAGAGAGGCGTCTTTCAGACGAATCGCGTATTTAATCATGTGTCCACGCAGCCACAAATACGGTGACTCGTGTAGAGGTTGAAGCAGACTCGCCCATTCAGCTGGCAGTGCCGGAGGGGACAATGGAGTTACTTGCGCATAAGTGACAATTTTTTGCTCAATCACGGATTGATGTTTTCCAATTGCTGTGCAGTTAGTCAAAGAGAGAAACAGTCCATGGAAGATTTGATCGAAGCCATGCACAAACAGTGTTCTGTTAGTTGCTATTGCTAGTTGCATTGCAAGCGCAATATGGTGGATTTGACAGCCAAAACCACACATCGGCAGTCCTGTCTCAACAAATCTGGCGGCAGAACAGTTGGTGGGGTGTTGCAGTTGGAATAGCTGTTTCTGAAACAATTCACCCAGACGCACAAGCTCACGTCTCCTGTGTTCAGCGTGTCCACCTAGTTCATCCATCCGAATCAGACGACTCGCCATCTCGAGTGACCAGTTCGAAGCACTTCCATTTAGCGTGGCGCTTAGATGCAGGGCTATGCTGAGCGCTTGCCTATGCAATGTATTGTAATCTTCCGGTTGATTACTTTTTCCATCTAAATTCGGTGGTTGCCGTGGAGCAGAGTATTCCTGATTGTTCATAGCCTCGTGGTGTCGAAGTGGAACTCCATTCCACACCATATATCCATTGCTATTGAGGAGGAACCATGCAGTGCAAATAACGGCAACAATTCCACCGACTTTGACGATCAGACGCATGCCCCCTGAAATTTGGCACAACTATTCAATGCAATGATATTTAATCCAACTGTTTCAAAACATGTTCCTATTTAAAGGAATGCATTGAGAATCCTGCGATCTCTGCAAGAAACTGTGAAATCATTGACCTGTAATTGGCTTCTTCTTTTGGGATGATTCTATTGGGTAATGGAACTTCTCTGTTTACTCAACTTCTAACATTCTAAGTTGCTTCCTGTTCGCAATCTTCGTGTTATTTTAGACCACTTTTGAATTAGTTTTATTCACTAAACCACAGCTTACAGATTCCACATTTTTACAATTACTGTTCTATGAAATATGCACACTTTGCATCAATTGAGAGATACATAATTTTTGCACCACTAATGTGTGCGAAGAGAATTTTAAACTTATAAACAGTTAATGGCTGTAATTTGTTATGCTCTTCAAAATTAAAACGGAAAACGGGTCTAATTTTGTAATGCTGAGGGCAACAAAAGAGGTTTTTTAATGTAAACTTCTGAGAAACTCACGCATCAAATCGCTATGCATTTAAATCATGAAAACGACAAACTTGCAATGATAGTTTCTATGCTGAGTTTGCCATAAAATTTGTTTAATTTTATGTGGCCTGGTAAGCGCACCATATTAACTGTAAACTTCACATATTTTTAAATGGTATATTTCTCGTGGAAATCTCTTAATTATGTTCGTCTGACAGGGCACAAAAGTTGACATTTTAAGGGACAACGTTCCATAATTTAAATTTAAACCATGTTGCCAGTTTCTTCTAATAAAATATATTTAAAAGCAATTTGTGTCTTGACCGCACACTACTAAATATGGAATTTTGTTATAATGCAGATTCAGTTTATTAATACAATATGTGGAATCCCGGTGCACTGTTATAAAGAAGACTAGTACATCAGGACTGGCTTTGCTGACCAACCACTGGAGAGACCCATATGTCAGACTCCATTCATCCGAGTCCTTCAAGCTGGCTGCGCCGCTCGTTACACACTGATCCGCACACGTGTCTGTCTGTGGTTGGTTGCTTGTCTTCCTCACAGGCCATTCGAACACAAAGAAATTGAGGACAGTCTGAGGCCTGCGTGGTATATTTATTCTGCGCCCTTATACTTTGTTACGGATAATCATTTCCATATCTGGCAGTCTACATTTGAAAGAAGCCGTCCGTGAAACTGACAGTAAACGAAGGATCCTTCGGAGCAGATTTCGTCGAGCTTTTACGCGGACCCACTGTTGCCTGCAAAATTCTGAGCCAAATTCACAATATTTTACGAAAGGAATCACTTGAGAAGTCGATTGCCCATGATCAGCCAATGCTTTTGACATACTTTGATTGCCTAGTTTTTTGCCAGTGCTCCTAATCTTTGCATTGTTACCATGATGAATTTGCATTAGAAATTTACTTGGTTCGGTATAAATTGAAATGCGCACGAGACGTTCCCAGGACTAAAATCATTTGCATCTGGAATTTAATAACCAACCCTGGATAGCCAGCTACGAATATGCGAAATACTGATCGGCAACTTTCCTATTCGATAGTTACGAGGTCCTAATATAATCATTTTCGAGTTCACAATTTATGAAGAATATGAATGTGGCATGCGTGTAAAATGTTTTTCAAAATATGACAAGTTGCTAAATTCGATGTCTCGTGTAACATTCAGTGCACTATTATCCGAAGACATCCAATTCCAATGAAATGATCGAGTGATTTGCATCTATAATCGAATTTGCACGGTCTTCCAGACAGTTGTCCTCCAAGTAGTCTGATCTGCTGCAAATCAGTTGTCAAATTGTTGTGAATAACAAATTTATTGCTGTTTTAATCTAATTAACATAGTTCACCTGTCGAAAAAAGTGCAGCCAGTTCTCACCGTCGTAATGCGATGAAGGTATGGCTTGCAAGTAATCCGACTGCTCTCTACAACTTAATGCTATGTGAGTGTGTGTGTGAGTTTGGAGAAAACTACGTTAATGTGTTGGCTTTGTTTTGGCCAAGAATTCTTGGATTTTCACTTCAAAGGACTTCCTAAAGAGTCCTTATTTTATTCACAATGCCTTCAACGTCCTTTGAATTAAGATTGTACGAAAGATTGAATGCGTTTTGTGTATTCATGATCGCTTTTGTGTAGCATGACATGCAGTAATCTTTCATTGTTACCTGCGAATGCACGCGAAAATCGACATTGTGTCGCTTATGTCAATGAGTCAAATCGGGCAGTTTTTGAAGAGCACTTGATTGAAGACTCAGATGCCTTAAACCTTCTTCCCCCGCCTCTAAACACCCATACACACCTGAGCATTTACCACATTTGTAACAAAAACATGAACACGTTTGTGCGGAGTCAAAGGTCGTCCCAATATTTAGAATGTGGTAAACGCAAAAGATAGACAGCAGACAAGGCCTGCGTGCAAATGTCAAGGTAATCAGTCAAGGTAGTTTGTTAACTGCAGACCTTCTCAATTCACATCAGTATTCCACGTAATTTCTTGATACTAGCATAACCACACTTATCTAGGTTACCTCAAATTAGTACGATCTGGTGTACTTTAAGCCCATTTCTATATATTTGACCGCCTAACATCTTGAAAATTCTTTGTCGTGCTTATCCCAAGTTCATTTAACGACATGGGAATGAGTTACCATGATGAATTGTTTGCAAATGCATGATGTCATCCAAAGATTTTCCATTAGGTCCATCAATTCTGCCTGATCCACAAGACATATGGGATAAAGTAACGATGTTGCACACACTAGGTTCCTTCCATCGGTAAATAAGATTTCCACAATAGAGGTTTTTGATGAAAAATACTTTGATTCGACCGATATCACTGATGTGTGCCAGTAGAGGCCTTTAATATACTGGTAGGCAGGGCTTGTGAAAACTCGCATTTGCAAACCTACATCTATAAAAAATTGAGGCCAGCGTTTCACTCGTAATTACTTCCTGTCACTTAACGCTGATAAGTCAGAGATGAATTTACTTTCCCCACCATCCTCTCTTAATCATCAGGCAATTCAGCTATGTGCACCCCTACAAGTGTGTGCATGTGTAGGGAAATACTACCGTTCGCATTTGAGTAAAACGTCGCCGTACAGGATTTATTTAGGCCTGTCGGCTTGCAACTCGTCCGCCTTTTCATTTAGCATACGGAGTCGAATATCATCCGCGAACTGTTAGTTAGACCGTGCACGTACGTAGTTCTCATCCAACCTTGTGTCTCGTCCAAAACGATGTAAAAGCTGTCAAAGACACGGATTAGCCAACCTGATTGCGTGATTCATTATAGCGTCAGGCTGTAACGGCATTTTAATTGTTTGATCCCGAAAGATGTAAAACTAGAGGAGAATGTCGACAAATTTAGATTGGTACAAGTGAGCGTGGCATGCTGCCTCAAGTCGGCTACGTGGACATTTGCAGATGGCCATGTGCTTGCGGTCAACGCATGCATTGATAGAGGAATGCCATCGTCCCTGGTTATGTAAGGCATTAATCCACATTATTGGAAGTTCCTTTTAAAGCACTTCTAATTCTGAATAACCGATGATGCCTACGTTTACTAGTTGGAGACTTGAATGGCATTTGGTGAATTTGGAAATGCTCGGCCGATTTTTCATCAGTAGTAGCTCTGCATGGTGTCATTTAAAGCATGCTATCACGACAAGAGTGCACTGACAACAGTGGAAACCTCCTTTTTCCAGTATTTTTTGATGCTCATCAAATTTACTCTGCCACAATCCAAAACCTCACAGAATTATTCTCAAAAAATATATTTGTTAACATGGAATAAATCGTAGAAAAAAATCGATTTAATCTAGCAGGTAATAAGCTGCCTCATTGCAATGAGGTGATCGGCACGCCAAATTAATTGGACAGGATAATTTTGCTGTCTTCATTTGCATCAAGATGTAAAGTAGCAGCTGTACAGAGACCTCTTCAATAAAATAAAAGCTGCAACACTGTGGCTGTTATAGCATTTAGTGGATATTGTCGAAATCCTTTGATTTGACAGCACATAAACCCATGATAATTACGATTAAATTGTGTGTTTAGTTGTGAAAAAAGTTTATTTATGAACGTTAAAAAAGAGTGTGTGCCAGGTAGCGTTAATTGGTGAACATTTGCAAGGAATGCTTTGAAAAATGCAACTTTACACGTGTCATACGAAAGGAGCCTAAGAAATGAATTTCTTCCAAAAAACCATACAACATTACGCATTTGCAGTGGACTAACAGCCACCCCGCTTGAGTGTGCGTGTATGAGGGCACAAGCAACTATATATGGCTGTGTGAAATAGATGAATTTATTACACTCAAAACTCTAAGAAACCAGCCCTGAAATGCTTACAAGTAGACTTAAATTTGCTAACATAAAGCAAGTCATCAGTCGTGGAAAAGACAAATGATATCATTTTGGAATGAATTTGAGACTCATTGGTTATATGGTTTAATGTATAGCAAAACATTTGCGTCGGTCAAATAAAACAATTTAGGCGGGATTACATAAATCGAATAATGTTCTGATTTGAGAAGGTCCCTTGGTTTGAAGTAGTAGATGCGTTTGCATGCATCTGATAAAGTTGTCATTGGGCATTTAGTTATATGGAACAATCAACGAACTAGGTAAGAGTGCGTACATTATTTCGCAGAGGAGTCATCGCAACGCCAATGTAAGTATAATTTCCTGTCGCATTTTTGACCAACATCGGCCAAAATGATTGATCTGCTTCTAGTGTAGGCCAATCCAGAAGCCAGAGTTTTTAATGGGATACCGGTTTTTAGTGATCTCATTTCAAATAGAGGCCGTGACACGTGATAAATTTGGCTTTATTTTAAAAAAAACTACATAAACCACTGCTTTTCATCGATTTCTCAAAAAACTATTCAGTTGGCTTTCAAGTCAGGTGTTTCCGGCACAGCAGTCTGAGTTGTTCAGGATTGGCTAGGTAGAAAAAAATGATCAAATTGGTTCGCTATCTATATAATGGGGAGGGCCACAACAATGCAAATGTTTTGTTTAATCTAGCGTATAGACCGTTTTAGAAAGTAGTCAAACACTCCCTCAAAATCATTTCTGTCTGCCAAACAAATATTCTATGGCTGACAACGATGCAAATAGCAGGGCTTTTGAAGTTCACTAAAGGAACAGCCAGATCTACTTATTGCAAGAGCAATATGTCAGATGTTTGCGCAATCGTGAGATTGTGTGCAGCATACTACAGCTCCAAACACCAATTTCACCCAGAGCCAAATCAGCTAAACTCCATGATGCAGTTAGCAGGCATTTTTTTTAAAATAAACTACTTTACTAACTGGAAACTAGACTTAGCGTCGCTGTTGGCCCTATAATCTCAGAACAAATGAGACATTATTTAATTGGTATGGTAAGACAGGCGAGGCGATTCAAAAATTAACACACAAACATAAAGCTTTTGATGCGTTTATTTGCCTTTTTCGGCAGATAGCCCTAAAATTTTGTGCTGCGTTATCATATCAATGGTACAATAACATACAACAACTTTAATAATCCAAGTCAGAGCGATTTGCCATAGAACTGTGACAAATTATTCATTTGTGCAAAGTTCCATGGGAAGATTGTGTCAACCACAAATACGTTTTCCTGGCACTAGTCAAATGCCAGCACGAGGCGCAATGGTATCAAGAGAATAGTTTGCAATAGAAATGCCAATATTTGTCATTGAGAAATGTTGAATTGAGTTGGAAGCAAGATAGACTGCTCTTGCAGGATAAACTGAGGCAGCACCGTCCTATTCGTGGTCGTCGCAGAGCCGAATTGTGAGAAATTGTACACTTTGACGACATCACCTCGTTTCGCTAGTGGTGGGTAGTCTACCCACACTTTCCATGTGCTTTCCTGAGAGCCAATGATGTAATACCTCCTGTCTGCAGAGGTGGTTTGCTGTGTGCGGTCGCCGTAGTGACCGTTCAGTGTCTGTTTCAAGGCGTGCGCCATTCGGCAAATGTTGGAGGAAAACGTGCAGACGAGGAAGTCGGCGTGAGCCAACAGCATCACATCAAAGCATACTGATTCGAGTCCTTCTCTAGTGAATCGCGATTTCACGTCAGTGTTGGTCTGGAAGTTTGTCCCTTTTTCATGAAATGAATACTCGGAATATTGCTGCCTGGCTTCTGCATACACGGTTGGGTCGTCAGATGCCAGAAATATACTTCTTCTGCGTGTGTCGTTTAGCACTCCTCTCAACCGATTACACGTTTTTATTACTCGATAATACTGCTCAACGGGTTCCATGTACATACTGAGGGAAAGCGGCTTGGCCTCCTTAACGAGTTTGTCAGTTCGACGGATGTGAATGCCAACAAAAACTTGACCATAGCCTCCACGTCGAAGGTTAGCACACTTCGAATTGATCTGCTGTGAGAAGGCGGCGTCCTTCAAACGAATCGCGTATTTAATCATGTGTCCACGCAACCACAAATACGGTGATTCGTGAAGAGGTTCAAGGAGACCAGCCCATTCACTTGGCAGTGCAGGAGGGGACAATGGAGATATTGGCGCAACGAAGACTCTTTTTTGCTGAATCACAGATTGATGTTTGCCAATTGCTGTGCAGTTAGTCAATGGGAGAAACAGTCCATGGAGGGTTTGATCGAAGCCATGCACAAACAGTGTTCTGTTAGTTGCTACTGCCAGCTGCATTGCAAGCACAACATGGTGGATTTGACAGCCAAAACCACACATCGGCAGTCTTGTCTCAACAAAGCTAGCAGTAGAACAGTTAGTGGGGTGTTGCAGTTGGAGCAGTTGTTTTTGAAACAGTTCACCGAGACGCACAAGCTCACGCCTCCTGCGTTCAGCGTGTCCACCAACTTCGTCCATCAGAATCAGACGACTCGCCATCTCGAGTGACCAGATCGTTGCACCATCACCTTGTGTGCCACCTAGATGGAGGGCGATGCTAAGTGCTCGCCGAAATAGAATATTGTAACCCTCTGGTTCCTCGTATCTTTTATGCACATCTGTAGGTTTCCACGAAATATTGTAAACAATAGTTTTCATTTGAACATTCCCCTTGCTCAAATATCTTCGAAAGTATATAAACACCCATGCTGCAATTATTATGATTGCAATTACATCAAATTTTGCGCTCTTCACCATAACCTTTGAAACGTTACACCGACTGTTCAGTAGAATGATATAAAGCCCATTTATCAGTGAATATGTCTGCATGCAAAGAATTCGATTGGGTAGACGGTCTTCTAACCATAAAATTGTGAAACCATTAACTCCTAATTGGCTCAAGCTTATTTCAGCTTCGGATTGGTCACCACCGAACCAAACTAAATCACTGATTCTATAAGACTGTAGTTCAAGCTATTGGTGAATGGTATTAGTAAGTGACTGCGTTGAGCGACTTCGGAAATTTTTCCTTAGGTAAATAGTTGCAAATTGGTATGCGTGAGCAGGATAGAGACAGCAGTATTTGACATCACTAGTAATTTGAAAAGGCACAACACTTTAAACTTTAAAACACGACGTTCCATAATTTAAATTTAAAACGTGTTACTAGTTTCTTCTAATGAAAAATGTACTTAAAAAATTTGTTTCTAAATCTCATACTACAAAACATGGAATTTTTCTTTTAATGCGGGTTCAGTTTAGGAAAACAACATGTGGAATCCCGGTGCACTGTTATAAAGAAGACTGGTACATCAGGACAGGCCTTACTGACCAATCACAGGAGAGACCCATATGTCAGACTCCATTCATCCGAGTCCTTCAAGCTGGCTGCGCCGCTCGTTACACACTGATCCGCACACGTGTCTGTCTGTGGTTGGTTGCTTGTCTTCCTCACAGGCCATTCAAACACAAATAGGTAGAGGACAGACTAAGGCCAGCGTGGTATATTTATTCTGCGCCCTTATACTTTGTTACGGATAATCATTTCCATATCTGGCAGTCTACATTTGAAAGAAGCCGTCCGTGAAACTGACAGTAAACGAAGGATCCTTCGGAGCAGATGTCTTCGAATTTTTACGCGGACCCTCTGTTGCCTACAAAATTCTGAGCCAAATTCACAATATTTTACGAAAAGAATGACTTTCAAAGTAAATTGTCCCTGTTTGGCCATTGTTTTTGACATAATTTGATTGCTTAATTTTTTGCCAGTTCTCCTTATCTTTGCGTTGTTACCATAATGAATTTGCATTAGAAATTAACTTGATTCTGCATAAATTAAAAAGCGCAGGACACGTTCCCAGGTTTAAAATCTATTACATCTGTAGGTTAATAATCGACCCTGAATAGCCAACTACACATCTACGAAATATTTACCGGCACTTTATCTATTCGATGGTTACGAGGCAACCAGGGTGTTGTTGCCCTATTTTGGTGTCATGAATAGTGCGTGCTACTAGACAAATAAGCTTGTATAATAAAATTCTGCAGTAAAGTGGCAATCGTATTTTGATCTGCAATAAAGCCTGAAACAAACCCATTACTACGATACAGAGTTACCCTGTTAAGTAGTAAGGCGTAATAAGACTAATTTAACCGTATTCAAGTTAACAAGTTATGAAGAATATGAAAGTGGTATGCATGAGAGATGTTTTTCAAAATATGACAAGCTGCCAATTTGAATGCCTTGAGTCAAATTCACTGCACTCTTATCCGAAGGCATACAATTCCAATGAAATGAGCAAGTGATTTGCACCTATAGTCGAATTTGCACGGTCTTCCAGACAGTTGTCCTCCAAGTAGTCTGATCTGCTGCAAATCAGTTGTCAAATTGTTGTGAATAACAAATTTATTGCTGTTTTAATCTAATTAACATAGTTCACCTGTCGAAAAAAACGCAGCCAGTTCTCATTGTTGTAATGTGATGAAGGCATGGCTTACAAAAATTCGACTGCATTCCATATCTTAATGATTTGTGAGTTTGTGTGAGTGTGAGTTTAGGAGAAAAATACGCTAATGTCTTGGCTTCGTTTTGGCCAAGAATGCTTGGATAATCACTTCCTTAGATCCTGCTAAATCGTCGTTTTTTTATTGACAATGCCTTTCACGTCATTCGAATTAAAGTTTTACAAAATATTAAATGCATTTTGTGTGTTCATGTTCACTTTTGTGTACCATGACATCCAGCATTGATTGATTGTTACCTGCGAATGCACTTGAAAAAGGACATAGTGTGGCTTTTGTCAATGGGCCAATTCTGGCAGATTTTGAAGAGTGCCTGATTGAGGGCTAATGTTCTTTAAAACCCAACCCTCAATTCTCAAATACACATGCACACCTGCGCATTTACTAAGAGAATCACGTCAACGCATATTCCAAGAAGGTTACGTCGATGACATAGACACATTCATTTAGATTGCCTTAATTTACGTTACCACTTTCAATTCACAGTTTGCTCATATTTTAACAAAAAAGAACATGTTTGTGCAGAATTAAAGGTCGTTAAAATATTTACATTAGGCGCGACTGTACTGACTGTAATAAGGTTCTTGTTGTATATGTGTTAAATGTATCAACTTTTGTTATGAAAACATCAGTTTATCACTCTCCCCGCCCTTTTACTTGTCATCACGCCAATCATTTTTGCTAAAGCCAGTATCAGGAGTTGATTGTCAATCACTAAATCAGAGCTTCTGTTTTTTAGACCGTACGTATAAGTCCGTCGCACCTAACATCGTCTTCCGTCCCAAAATACAAAAAAACCACTCACAGACAGAGATTAGCAAAACTGAAAGAGTGATTTAGGACGGCGTCAGGCTGAAAAGTGTAAACCAGGAGAATTTTTGTCAATTTAGGTTGTTACAAGCAAGCGATGGATGCTGCTGCAAGTCGGCCTCATGAACATTTGTAGGTGGTGCTGTGCTTGCGGTCACCGCATGCTTTGACAGGGGACTATCATCGTCACTGGTTAAGCAAGGCACTAATTCATAACATTAGAAGTTCCTTTTAAAGCACCTCTAAGTATAAATGTCCGATGATCTGGAGACTTAAATGGCATTTAATGAATTTGGAAGTGCCCGGTTGATTTCTCATCAGTAGTTGCTCTGCATAGTGTTATTTAAAGCATGCTATCCCGACATGAGTGAACTGATAACAGCGGGAACCTACTTTGCCCAAAGTTACTCCGGCCAACAATCCGTTACTACACTGGTTTTATTCGTGTTTCCTTTGTTGACGCCATTGAGGCATGTGGTATGTTGAGGTGGTGTGTGCATTTGGAATGAAATCAGGAATTATATTTTTGTATCACGGTGTAACAACTTGAGTTGGCCGTAGTGGGGTGGAACTTAGCCTTTTACGATTGTCCATTTAACGTGTGGAGAGGCTCAAGCAAGCAAGTGTGTGAGTGCTTGATGCGCAAGATGTTAATTGACGCACAGTTTTGGCCACAATGAAAGCCACAAATACAGTGAAGACACCTAAGTTTGTGGGTTCGTTCACATATGCTTGACAACTAGCCGAATATCATAGGTTTGTCTCCAATTTTGATATTTTAAGGAGCGTCGAAAAAACGAGATGTGCCCGAGGATTCGCTGCTCCACTAGTAAAACTAAAACCTCATGGTTGCGTATGCTGTTGCAAATTACGCAGTACGTTCACGCCAGCGCACAGATGCGCTTTACAAGGCGTTTCATGCAAATTACATTGGTCTAAATCGCAGTACTTAGTGTGGACTCACAAAGTTGCGACACACTGTGCAGGCACAAAGAGCAAGGACACGCAATCAGCGAGGTCCGATTTAGTGCATCACCAATATGAATTTGTTTTAATAATGTGAAATAACGGTGCATTTCCTTCGTTGACAAACCAAATCTCTGCCTCCGAAAATGTGCCATACAAATTACGCTTAGGGAATGGCAAACAACAGTAAATGCCTCACCTATCAGTGGGCAATTAAAACACGCGTCGAGCGAATATCATGTCTGAATGTCAGCTGCAAGGTGTCTTGTAGGCAGCAGGTAGTGTGTTACAAAGCAATTGAAAGCAAAAAAGTATTTTCTCACAAATCAAAAAGAATTTGGAGGTGTGCTTTCGGTCTGGTAGTTACCCACTTAGATGATCAACGATAAGTGCAATTGCTGTGTTTTGCCATATTCGGCCCTCATTGTTTTCTATGAATTTAGTGTAATATAGAGCATTGTTTAACTCTCTAGACAATTACGGGCCATGGCTAGGGGAAGTAGCTTGAATGATTGTCAATTTTAAGGTATTATTGGGTATGAAATCACTAGAAACGCAGCATTGCGCCCTGTACACCTGGTCAGTCAATCCATTTGCACCTGATAATTATGCACTTGGGTTTTTCAACACTCGATTGGCCCCTGTGTAAACTGGAACTTACAATGACGTAGAGCAGACAATCAGTCAATAGGTTGGCGAATTACAGAAATTACCTTTCGTGGCAAAATTGGTTTTACTTCAGGACAAAGCGTAGCACCAGGTGAGTTATGCGTCAAATCTGACAAATTTCCCTGGTAGGAATATTCTTTGAATTTACCAGTATGACATGTTCTGCATGTTGACTGCTTTACTCCGTTTTGCAGTTTGACTGCAATAACGGGGCACCAAATACTTTGTATTGACCTTAGTTAAATGGTTACTTGATTAGCCGCTACTGTGAATTGTCAACCAAGTAAAAAGTACCCAGAGAAATACGCGCACACGGAAATAAAACGAATTAAAGCCATTCGTATCATTTAAAAAAAAACGAAATGCATTGGTGTCAAAAGATGTTTGCGGAATACAAATATCGATATCGGTCATTGAGAAATGTTGAAGTTACTTGGGAGTAAAATAGGCAGTTCTTGCAGGATAAATTGTGGCAGCACCGTATTCTCCGTTGTCTCAACAGAGCCGAAAGTCGAGGGTGTTCCCACTTCAACCACATCGCCCCGTTTAACAAAAGGTGGGTAGTCTAGCCACACCTTCCATTTGCTTTTTTGAGAGCCAATGATGAAAAACCCCGTGTCTACAGAAGCTGTGTGATGGGTGCGGTCGGCGTAGTGATCGTTCAGTGTCTGTTTTAAGGCGTGCGCCATTCGGCAAACATTAGAGGAAAACGTGCAGACGAGGAAGTCAGCGTGAGCCAGCAACATTATATCAAAGAATATTGATTCAAGTCCTTCTCTAGTAAATCGCGATTTCACGTCAGTGTTGCTCTGGAAAAATGTCCCTTTTTCATGAAATGAATACTCAGGATATTGCTGCCTGGCTTCTGCATACACGGATGGTTCGTCAGATGCCAGGAATATATTTCTTCTACGTGTGTCATTTAGCATTCCTTTCAACGCATTGCACATTTTTATCAACCCATAATACTGCTCAACGCGTTCCATATACGAACTGACGGGGAACGACTTGGCTTCGCTAAGAAGTTTGTCAGTGCGACGGACGTGGATGCCAACGAACACTTGACCATAACTTCCACGTCGAAGGTTAGCACACTTCGAATTGATCTGCTGTGAGAAGGCGGCGTCCTTCAAACGAATCGCGTATTTAATCATGTGTCCACGCAACCACAAATACGGTGATTCGTGTAGAGGTTGAAGCAGACTTGCCCATTCAGCTGACAGTGCCGGTGGGGACAGTGGAGAAATTGGCGCATCGAAGACTCTTTTTTGCTGTATCACAGATTGATGTTTACCAATTGCTGTGCAGTTTGTCAAAGGGAGGAACAGTCCATGGAATGTTTGATCGAAGCCATGCACAAACAGTGTTCTGTTAGTCGCTACTGCCAGCTGCATTGCAAGCACAACATGGTGGATTTGACAGCCAAAACCACAATATGGCACATTTGTCTCAACAAATCTGGCAGTAGAGCAGTTGGTGGGGTGTTGCAGTAGGAATAGCTGTTTCTGAAATAGTTTACCCAGACGCACAAGCTCACGCCTCCTGCGTTCAGCGTGTCCACCAACTTCGTCCATCAGAATCAGACGACTCGCCATCTCGAGTGACCAGATCGATGCACCATCACCTTTTGTGCCACCTAGATGGAGGGCGATGCTAAGTGCTCGCCGAAATAAAATATCGTAACCCTCAGGTTCCACGTTTCCTTCATGCACATGTGTAGGCTTCCACGGATGTGTCATATCGACGTTTCGCATTCCCAGATATCTTCGACTTTGAATAAGAACCCATGCTGCAATTATCACGATTGAAATTCCAGCAAATATTACGGTTTTCCTCATAGCCATAGAAATTTTACACCGACTGTTCAATGGAATGATATTAACACGAGTTATCGTTGAATTTATATGCATGCAAAAAAACTGGATTGAGTAGATGGACTTCTATTCACGGAATTGTGAAACCATTAATTCCTAATTGACGTACTCTTATTTCGGATTTGCATTGGTCTCCGCCAGATTAATGCTTAATTTTCTCGTACCATACCAACTGACTGCTTCTCAGTAAGATTGCAGTTCAGGATATTGGTGAATGGTATTAGTAAGTGACTACGTTGAACAGCTTTCGTAATTCATCCTTAAGGAGGTGATTGTAGATTGACATTCATGTGCAGGACACAGCTTGGTGACGATCAATTGCACCGATCAGATAAAACTCTACCTCAGTGCATCAATGTGGTTCCTAAGTCGAATGAGTAGTCCAGTAAGATTTTGTGTTTGAGTGATAGGCGATTATCGATCTACGCCAAAGGACAAAAACAGCAGTTGGTGACTTAATGGATCCCTCATCGCTATTATAACACCTTGTTTGATTGAAAGCATGATGCCAACATTTCCTCTATCTTTTCTATCTCTAGGTTTTCTTTCGCCAACCAATTAACCTGTGGCAATTGCATAAGTTATTGTACGGATTTGATTATTCAAATTAATAACAAGACATGTCAATTAGTTAAAAAGGTACCTAACAATCTGCAATAGTCATGACCATGTAGTTGGCAGGTTGTACTTCTTTAGATTAAGCTTGTAAATGCCAGCATTTTCAAATAATGATAAATGAACAAATATGAAACAGGAACGCTTGGTTGCACTAAAGGCGTAATTTTTATTCTGCTGTAAGCTCTTATAACTCTGTTTTCAAGTGCTCAAGCATTGTTTTGGACATGTAAATACAGAAGGAGTTGTAAAGGACTAGCGAAGCAAAGGATAACAACGTTGACAACGGACAACCATCTGAAACACCAAAGCCACCACCATTTGTAACATATAAGGAGCGATGTGTTTCTCATTTGTCCTATCAAATGTTGCAGACTTATTGACATCTTCAAAGCAAACTGCAATATGGAAGCAATGTTATTGCCACTCGCCTTGATAATACAAGGCCCTAAGCCATCAACTAATTCCTTACACAGTAAACGACCTTTTCCACGCAAAAACGATTTTGCTGATCCACACGCACTTGCCCCATTCTCAATGCTGTTTTACCTTCCGGTCAAACAGAGATAGAAATGCTGTAAACACTAATTTACTGACATTCAGTATTTATCCCAACGGTAAGGTCCGGCCTACAAAAAATTTGTTTGCTGTAAATTTCACTTCCTCATGCAGGATATCATAATCTGCTACAACCTCAACAAGACACATTGAAGCCTCGTATTATTGGCCAGTTCCTTAAGCTGATTCGATACAACCCAACTATTCAGTTTTGGATTTGTTTGATCCTCAAAGTTTTAGTTCTCATAGTTTGATCTGCGTGAGGGACTTTCGTGATCTGTATATGATACATTCGCCAAAAACAGGCGACCAGTTAAGCTCTGATGTCTGTGTGAAATGAACAAACACTACAGCCTCCACGCATGCTTTCTTTTTGTATGGTTTCATGAACTAGTACTCTGATTAGATCATTCTCATTTATGGAAGTAGAAAGGTGATCGGCAGTTGTATGAGTGCGTTTTCACTCTTGAAATTACTAGCATCATGCGAATCCACGAGTGGTAATCCTGCCACACCAATGTCTGTTCCACACACTTCATTAAATCAAATGTGAAAATGATTGGTGGGGCTAAATTTACAAAGACGAGATTGGATTTCAAACATCGACTTACATCATAAGAGGTGAAGCAAAATTAGACGCTTTAGCAATTGCATAGGAAGGCGTAATCAAGCCGAAATCTTTGTGAATGGCTTACTTGTTAAATTAGAAATGCTTTGCTAAAATTTGCACAGTGATCTTAAGTTGTTTTTGTGAAGCAATCTCAACATTTTTGTGGAAAAAATAATCCAAGTGCGAAACTACAGCACTCTTTTTAGAAGATGTACCTTTGATGGAAAATAATTGGAAAATAGCGAAAACGAATTTTAATTTGCTACGCAATCGATTCCAAAATAACTTGTTTTTTTTTAGTATACCTTTAGGAGTCATCATCAAACAAAGCAGAACTTATAGAGTTAGGTTACCCAAAGTGGCGGAACATGTGTGCGTTGCTTATTACACTTGCTGCTTTTTAATTTCGACTAGTCTACTGCGCTTACAAAAGTAGTTTTGTTTCTTCGGTCGTTTAGTTTATCACCTTGCCATAACACAGTACGTAAGTGGCTTTAATTTATCTGAATTTCAACTAATTGCAAGGTTACTTCATTTCCGTCTGATTGTTGATATTTTTGGCTATTGCTTGAGATGCTGCATTATGCACAATAAGAATCTACATCTGACTGAGTGTCTGGCGTCGTTGGTATTTTCGCCTGTGCTCACCCCACAGGGTTCTCTTAATCGACTAAATTGCTAAAAATTGAATCTTTTCAAAGGTCGACTGCCAGATTTTAAACTACCTATCCATGTTGAGAATCATCATTCACATGGAATGCACACTGAGAAACGGTATTCCTTCATTAGTGGTGTGTGGGTTTTGTACTGCACCTTCTCTCAAGGGCTCTCAGAATTCCTAAAAATCGATCCTCGCACTGGGACACACTTTTGCTGCTCCGTTGCCTTACTATATGAGGCCTCAACAAAAGTGTCTTTGCTTAACTCAGGTAAAAGATCACAATGGAATTTTGGTATTAAATTTCACTGGCCAAGTTCGTTTTCTTGCCTCGGATGTAGACAGCACACATAGAATCTCCAAAAATAACTTTTTTTCGGTTGTTCACCTAAATACACGTTGCACAATTAAGCAGGAGTCACCACTAATGTTCTAGGTATGGCATAAAAGTAAGTCTTGGGTTCTAACAAGATATTCTTAATGCAATGTAGATAATAGAGGCGCTAGAAATAAACTTACTTCTATCTCACGAGACCTAAAATAGATAGAAAATGGAACATTTTTTCTAATTAAATTCACTGCACTTCATAATATAAAATTAGTGTGGGACACATCAGAAAACACATAATGTCTTCATCCACCATGAAGTGTTAAATAAGGGGAATGTGAACAATAACCATTTATTCATTATGTTGAATATTGCTACCATTCCTCCATTAACGGGTATGTCCATTCTGTTGCAACGCAAATTAACTGTATTAAAAATTCTTCAATTGATTTCAGATTTCTGAATTACCATTGTCGTAAATGGGGCTGCTATATTGCATCAATTTGGCAAATGCACCTGTAGTGAATCGTGTTGATTCATGCACATAACCCGGTCGTCGCAACCTCACACATGCGTTTACCTTTTCACCAGGTGCTCGTCAGTCACTGCGACTGTCTGCTTATTCACCCCCCCTGTATGTATCACCACCACCCGCTCTTTCCATGTGACCATTCAGAAGTCTGCATTTTTACTAGTCCACCCTGCTGTATTAGTCATTGTCTCCGGTCAACCTGCAGCGGCTAGAGACAGCACTACCTTACAACCCTCTAGTTAACAGCCCGTAACTACCCGAGAAGAGAAAGAATAGCGGCGACAGAGAACACGACCGTTTATTAGTGTCAAACCGGCCAAGTGGCTTTGTGCGTAACAGTCGAATGCTGACAGAGGCCAGAAGTGAGTCATTGGTCCACTCGGGCCCTCATGCGCTCATCACTCACGCGAGGTGGCTGTCAGTCCACTACAAATATTCCCGGCAGAGAGTGTTGGCTGTGAAACAGTAAACGCTTGACAATTACTGAACTGAATCAGCAAAGCCGACAAAGGGTCTCAGGAGTGGGTTGAATCTCTTTCTGGGTTGACTTGGCTGGCGAAAACGGGAAGTGGTGCACTGTCATTGTTTAGGCTGTGCAGATGATAATTCATCCAATCTCAGTAGGTGGCTGGCTACCTGTTAGCTGCTACATCAGAGGAGATGGTTAGATTTTTCTCTCCGTATATGAGACACTCGTGCATGTCATCAGCCACTTCAGTAAGCTGATCCAGATGTACGCTAGGGCTTTGGGACGGGGTGATTGTATTCATGTGCGCCAAGAAAGTTTTAGTCCACAGTTGGCGTAGAACGGAATCATTAACCTTGATATTCTCACAAAGGCGGCGGATATGCCGAAGGAGTTGAGAAGGTGACCTGTCAACTAGTTCGATACCGGAAAGTAGGTGTCGACGACGGGTCTTGTTAAAGCTGATCAGTAGTATGAGAACAGCGCCATTCAAATCTCTGTAGGGGTTTTCAGAAGGCATTGTTCCAAGCAAGTCTATAAATTCTGTAGCAACATCTCTCGGTAGCAACGTAACAACATGTAAATATTTAGAGAACTTGGAGGCAGTCATCTGATTTGAATGATCTGGGCCTCAGGTCGCATTAACCAAACTCAGGCTTTGGGACTGTATGGGAGAGAGTTGACTGAAATTCTGTTCTCCGAACAGAGGTTTACAGCAATAGTGTCACTCATTGTTAACAGAGAAGAGTTGTGAAAATTCGAAAGGATATCACCAATCAACGGCGTCAAAGATAAAGTGGTTTCATCACGACGGGATTGCATCATGTCAGGGTCACCAAATGTAGTGTCTTATGATCGGCAAACATTGTGAACTCACGTCCTCCCAGTAGGTGACGAAAATGCTTCACTGCAAGATAAATCGCTAATAGTTCTCTGGAAAAGGTACTTAAAAGGGTCTGAGCTGATTGAAACTTTCGAGGAAAGAATGATAACGGCTCAGTACGACCGTCCAGCTCTTATTGAAGGACTGTGCCGACCGAAGTTTAGGAAGCATTTGTTCGCAATACAAGTTTTGCTTCCTTTTTCCAGTAGCACAAG